GAAACAGACACTTATATATAATGCTGGTGGGAGTATTAATTTTTGCAACCTCTAGTGGAGGGAACTTGCTATCAAAGCTGTGAGTGCAAATATCTTTTGATCCAGCAGAACCACTTTTAGGAGTTTGTTTCAGATATTTATGCATTTGTGAAATGACCTGTATCTATGTTACTTAGTGGAACACTGTATCAGGGAAAAAAAAAAAAACGGAAATAACTATAATGTCAATAGGTAATGGGTTAAACTCATCTGTACAGTGCATCATGTACCCATCTGTACAGTGAAATAGCATGCAGCTATAAAAAAGAGAGGAGGATTCTGTTATGACAAGTTCCCCAAAATACATTCAGTGAAAAAAGGGAATGTTTAAGACACTTGTGTATCTTTTTTGTATTTGCCTTCAGAACCATATAAGTCCCAACTTGTTTAAAATTAAGGTAGAACTTTCCATGTAATTGTCAAGTATAGCGTTTTCATTTATAAGGTGGTTTGTACTTTTGCAGGCATTAGTTCATCTGACCTTCATCTCAGTCTCTAAGATTGGTCCTAGGTGAAAAAGCCAATGTTTAAAAAATACACAATTTAGAAATTATTTTTAACTGTAACTCTAGCTCTCTTTCAACTTCAGTGAAGCTCTAGTTGTTGAATGGGACCGCACCATCATCTCGCAGACTCCACAAGCCATCTTTTTTTTTTTTTTCAATGTAAGTAAAGGTCAGAAATAAAAATAGATGTTAATGGATTAACCTAGACCATAAAAAGGAGGTTCTGTGCAGGTGTATGTGTGTGTGGGTTTTAAGGGCAAAGCATAACAAAATATGACACTGAAGGAAAGAGGTAGTGGCCAGAAACACTGATAGAGGCTTTAGTTCTATTAGAGTTTGAATCTCAGGTTTATTCCTTACTAGACATATAATTTGAACTAACAGATGTAGAAGGCTGTCAGTGTCTACCTAGTCTCTAGGAACCTCCTTTTTTTGTAGAATCCATCTGTACTATGAATGTTTTAATGATTTAGAAGTTTCATAGATGGTGGTGGGATGTTATGAAATTCTCAACGTGTTTTTCAGAACCTTCAAAAATCTCCACTTGTCAGTGGTCTCAATTGAACAGTCATGGTGGCTGTTTCTTTTCTAATTTCTCATATCTCTTCCTCTTCCTCTTCCTCTTGTTCTCTGTGGAGCTCTAACATGACAAGGCTGTCTGATTGGACTGGAGATCACTCCAGCAAAAACCTAAGTGCATATGAACACAGCTTGTTCGGGAAGGACTTAAAAAAAAAAAAAAAAGAAGCCAAAGGGACCAGCAGTTAGGGTAATGGCTATGTCGTTGGACTCTCATGTAGTCAACCGCAGTTTGTGTCTTGGACCCGGTGGCTTAAAACTCACACCGGGCACATGTGCGTGCATGCCCAAGGTCCTGAGAGGAGAATGGAAGAGAAGGTATTGCGGCATGGCCATCCCCTCTGGGGGGTGGGGTGATTTCTAGCTTTCTGTCTGTCTGTCTGTCTGGCAAGCGCACGTGCCCTATAGCAAAAACCTCTCAAGAAAAAAAAAGTCAAAGAATTTCGAAGAGGAGGGAAAACTGAGAGAATGTTAACATAAGGACTTCATAAATCTAGTTCCTGTCCTAACTGCATCTGTGCTGTGCTCATCTGGCTCCCAGAAAATACCCAGTTATTAAAACTTACTAGGGGGCAATTAACAATCACCACCACCTCAGACTCAACATGCAGATTTGTAGTGCGTTTGGAGGAGGATAAAGACAAGGATGTCAGGATTTCAATAGTTCATTAGGTGGCTAAGCAAACAGGTTTCAATTGAACAGTCAGGGTGACTTTCTTTTCTAATTGCTCATATCTCTTCCTCTTTGAGGTAATGGAAAATATTTGTCAGATTTGTCAAAGTATCACTCCAAGTGACTGGGGAGAAACGAGATTAAAAGCAAGAAAATAAGAAAACATATGAAGCCCAGAGGCAACCAAACAGCCCGCTGGTGTGAGGAGAGCTGCAGAGACATCTGATAATCATCCCCTAAGCCACCTGCTAGAACTTTCCAAGGCACCATGGAGGAAGAACCTTTGGGAAGCAAGGCAGTCCCCTCTCCTCAGAGAGGCCTGGATTAATGGCCAGGGCTCCCTTCACCCCCGTGACTGCTTTTTCATGTTTTCTCCTCTAGCCATTGCCTATCCTACCTTCTCGATAGTCTCCCTTAGTGGTGAATGCATCTAAGGGATCCGGTTTCTATCCTAACCTCATTTGTGTGTTTATCTAACTCCCAGGAAATACCGAGTTATTATGAATTTGCCTAGGGGGTCAAGTCGCAGTCACCACTGCCTTGGGCTCAGCATTCAGATTTCCCAGGAGTAGGGCTAGCGCCTTCATGGCCTTGAGACCAAGGGCCTCCTTCTTAAACTTTTGCTCTAGGGAGGGGCCTGCACAGCCCCTGTCTAATCCCAATGTCTTGAGTATGGATTGAATCCCTGCCTTCCTGGGAGCCAGTGACATAAGGGGGATGGGACCCCAGTAGAGACTGAGACTAGAGGCTTGTTTCAGGATGGGTGAGGGGACATGTACAGGACTCTGGACTTGATAACCCCATCCTATCCATTGCAGCCTTTTTATCAGAAGAGCCTGGAATGGAGGAAAAGGTGGAGTGAACTCAGAGATCAGTGACATAACGAACACATCTTTCTTAAACCAACAGGGACCTTAAAGAGCTTGTTATAGAACCCTAAGGATACAGACTAGGATACACACTAAAGCCCATCCCACCACTTGCTCACCTTGAAATCTGCAGGCATTGAGCAATTGGGCTAAGGAAGTGGACATACCCCTATAGAGCTTCCTGGAAGAGGGTGCCCAGGTGCTTGATGGCATGAGACATGGCAGGTGAGTGGCAGTGCTAGGATGAAGCACACATTGAGGATGGGAACCAGGGTCACACTGACTCTCCAGGCCCCAAACTACCAGCACCTGGTACCTAGCAAGCATGTGAAAATTGCTTGTGTACTTGAGGCAGTTTGATCCTCAGGAACAACAGGAGATAGGAAGAGAATGAGGAAATTAAAATGGAGAAAGGTGGAAAGTGACTTTGGAAGCCACATCAGAGGAAAAAGAGCCTTTAGGGATTGGAATAAAGGGCCTAGATTTGGCGGTATAAACAGGGGGTTGGGTGGGTGGGATTGGTGTACTTGTATATGGGGGGGGGGAGAGAAAAAAATATGAGGGGGCTGCAGAGTAGGTATAGGCAAGCAAAGAATTGGGGGAAGAAAGTGAGAAGTATGAGTAGCTGACCTCACCTCCTGCTTAATAGGTGTAAAACTGACAGAAAAGAAACTGGATAATAGAGGAATAGGTATTGAGTGGGCTCATGACATAATGGAACTGAATAGAAGCTTGAAGAGAGAAACTATGATAGAAGAATGGGGATTGGGAAGAACAAATACCTTCAGAAAGATGTAGCATTGCTCAAGCAAAACAAAATAAAAACTGGGTAGCCTGGTGGCCTGGTGGTTAAGGTGGCAGGATCACACATGGCTGACCGCATGGTTTGAGGCCCCGACCTAGTGGCTTAAAAAACACACCAGACACATGTGTATATGTGCCTGGAATCCTTAGGGAGAGTAGAGGGGAAGAGCATTGTCTCCCTCTGGCAGGGGGTGATTTCTCATATAGCAAATTTAAAAAATAAAACAAACAAAAAACTGAAAAAGGGGGAGAAGGGAGAAGTGGGAACAAAGTGCCTTCCTACTGGAAAAATAGAGATGGTGACAGAAATGAAACAGGGCCTAAAACTTGGAGTTGAAAGATGCTTCAGTTTTGGGTCTACCCCAGCCTTTTGACCTTGGAGAACCCTTGTGAGCAGGTTTGTAACTATCAGTTCAGTATGTCCTAGTGGAAGTCCCTGGCAGTGGAACTGGAGGAGGTAGCAGGGAACAGATATCTTCCTGTAGCCTGGATTGGATGGAATCTTCAAAGCAGGAGAATGCATTTTTGCACCACAACTTAATTGGATTTAACCCTACCTAGTAAACACAGTCTGGGTTCAAATATCACTTGTGTCACATTTTACTAAATAAAGCTAGCTCACTCTTGTACTATGGGGGCTCTGATGCTTCTGCTGCCCATGCCCATAGGGTATGCCAAATCATGGTTAGAAATCCCTCAATGACCCCTTTTTAGTCTCTACTCCAGTTGTGAGACTGGAAGACCTGGGTCCTTAAGGACTTGGCACAGGCTTTATTTTCTGTGTCAAAAGCTCACTTCACCCTCTTCCTTTTCTAGGCAATTTAATAGAAGGCCTGGGAAAAGGAAAAGATAACTAGGAGTTGACCTCTGCTTAGTAAGGATCTTTGAGGTGTCTCATCCTTTGTCCTTTCAGATTCCTGGACCTAAATATCCTCAGTGCCCACACTGGAAGCCTAGTTCCCATGAAACATGGGAACTTGGTAGCTGTCCTACTCATTCTAAAACTGGTGACTTACTCCAGTTCTTTCAGAGTTAAGGGTGGGAGATCTTGGAATAAAGAGGAATAAAACTGAAGATTAGCCTAATGAGACTGTAGAAAATAAACCTAACAACAGGAGTGTAAAGATCCATTTGAAGGGAACCAGCAGTTAGCGTAATGGTTATGTCACTGGACTCTCACGTAGCCGATCATGGTTCGTGTCCCGGACCTGGTGGCTTAAAACTCACGCTGGGCACGTGTGCGTGTGTGCCCAAGATCCCAGGAGGAGAATGGAGGAGAAGGGATTGTGGCATGACCATCCCCCCTGGGGGGTGATTTCTCGCTTTCTGTCTCTATGTCTCTATCTGTCTGGCGAGCACACGCGCCCTATAGCGAAAACCTCTCCAAAAAAAAAGATCCATTTGAAGAGGGTGAGGTCCCAGTGCTTGAAATGAAATTGAATTCCCTAGCCAGTGGTTCTCAAAATTTAGCTTACATATCACATTCGCTGGAAGATGTTAAGAGGCTAATTATTGGACTTCACACCAGTTTCTGATTCAGTAGGTCTAGAGTGGGGCCTGAGAATTTGTGTTTCTGGGACCAGCAGTTAGCGTATTGGCTATGTCGCTGGACTCCCACATAGTTGACCGCAGTTCGTGTCCCAGACCCAGTGGCTTAAACTCACGCCGGGCACATGTGCGTGCGTGCCCAAGATCCCGAGAGGAGAATGGAGGAGAAGGGATTGCGTCATGGCCATCCCCCCTGGGGGGCGATTTCTCACTTTCTGTCTCTCTGTCTCTGTCTTGCCTGTCTGGTGAGCACACGTGCCCTATAGCAAAAACCTCTGGGGGAAAAAAATATCTGCGTTTCTAACAAGTTTCCAGGTGATTGGTGCTGCTGGCCTGAAGACTCCATTTTGAAAACTATGGCCTGATACAACACATGAGGAATAAAAGAAAATCTTGCCTGCTCAGGCTCTCTAGGGATCTAAGGAAGCAGATTCACACTTTTCTGTTATTGCTCAGCCCCATCCACCCCTTACAGTGCGTTCATCTGAATAGTGATGGAAAGAACCTGCCTTCTGCTCCCTCTAGGTCTGAGTCTGGGCTTACCTTGCTCTTGATGAAAATAGGAAACAAGTGATTTAATTGTAGGCTTGTTGGAAAGGGAGTGATTTTATTCCAAATTATCACCCCATTAGCTTTCTGAAGTCCTAACAAGGGACTTTAACAAGGGAAAACCTTTTCTTTCCACAATTAAAACTGAGGCCCAAAATGTAAATAGCCTTAGAAAAAGCTAACACATTGAGTGGGCTACATCCTCCTGTGCAAGGGATTTCTTGAAGAGATACAATTGAGGTAGAAAGGAGATAGATGATACTTAGAATAGAGCCAAGATGGGAAAAGGGACAGGTTCCTGAAGATGGACTTTACTGTTTGACATTTTGTCCAGAGAGAACACAGAGACACCTTTTATTTGAAGAAAACAGGAAGAAGGGAGAAGGGAGTTGGATGGAAGATGAAAGTTTGAGGATTCTGTGTAGGAAAAATCATTCAAATCTATTCACTCATCTGAAGGCTGTTGCTTGTTTTATTTTTTGTTCAAGGGAGGTGGTGTTGGAGTGAGGTAGAGAAGACAGTGATACACCAGAAATAACCCGAAGGATTGCCCCTTTTGCAGAAGGCCCTTAGGCTCCATAATGCCTTTCACCTGGGTTCTATAACTGTGCCTTCATTTTGGGGGATTTTACCCT